TGCTGAAATCTATATTTATATTTTCTGTGCCTTTTGGCTATGGACATGTACATGTGCTTGCACTCTTCTGCTTTATGCTACAAGAGTTGAAGACGGAGCCTGGCTGTTATTTTTGGGCTGTTCTGAATGGTGTCTGAGTGTGACTAAAGGATAGGAACCTTGTTGAGGTAGGAGGGCTTTGGCCAGTAACAAAGCAAGGTTGGCCGCATGAATTCCAGGAGTTACATTGGAGTAAGTTCACTTCTGGGTGTTGATGTGTACACCCAGTTCTGAAAACAAGTGAGTTGTAGCTTTGGTGAGCTTATTGGAAAGACTGTGGCTATTTCTACACTAGAGTTTTTCTGGAAAAATGGCCATTTTTCTGAAAAAACTTCTTACGTCCACACTGCGATCATGTTCTTTCAGCAAAAAGTTGAAAGAATAAAGGGGTTTTTCCGAGACTGGTAAACCTTATTCTATGAGGAAGAATGCCTTTTTCCAAAGGGCTCTTTTGGAAAAAGGCATTCTTCCTCATAGAATAAGGTTTACCAGTCTCGGAAAAACCCCTTTATTCTTTCAACTTTTTGCTGAAAGAACATGATCGCAGTGTGGACGTAAGAAGTTTTTTCAGAAGAGCTCTTCCGGAAAAGCTTCTTCTGAAAGAAGTCTGCAGTCTAGCAGTACCCAGAGCTCAGAGGAGATAAAGGTAGCTCTTTATCCCTTGAGAACATATATGAGCAGCCACCACTGAGAACCTTGGAAAATATTCCCTGGGGTGATGATAGCCCAAAGGAGAATATTTTGCCACGTCAGTCCACAGGGCCAGAGAGCAGTCTCCATGAAGATAATCTTTTGCCTAAGCTCTCTATCTGTATGAGATCAGGGCCTTAGTTGCTGGCAGAGACCACACTTTTGCTGAATGTGGCCTTCTCTGAGGTAGCAAATGCCCTTAGGAGTACTTGTCCAGGACAAGGATTGCCTCTGTTCTTCTAGATGGTTTTGTTAGCAATTTTCTACAATGATTTTTTAAACAGAAAATCAACTCTTTTTCCATCATGCTGAACCTTATTTACCTACCTATGGTTCCGCAGCAGAGTTAGGACCTTTAGATCTACAGCATAGTATCTCTGTCACTTGAGTTAAGAGTAACTGGGACCAACAGACTGTTAGCTTCCATATGTGCCAACTACTAAAGGAGATGAGAGACATACTTTGCAGTGGGATTCATAGTTATTTGCTGACATCAGAAAAATACTGGAACTTACAAATCATGGATTCAATTCCAGTTTCTGGAAAAAAGTCAGCTCTAATGGGTATACCTCTTTTCCCACACATCCTGTCTCAGTACCACTCTTCTGCTCCAATCCACACAGGTCGCTGTCCCTTTTCCCCTCCTTGCCATACTCCTATCCGTTTCCCCCGCCCAAGTACTCACCCACCTACTCCTCTCTGCTACTTATGTATACATTAGCTGAACTGTACCACCTTCCTTCTCCAGGTTGCCTGGATTTTGGATGCTGTAGGATGTATGTGGGGGAGGAGATTCATTCTTATTCACTCTGTAGGGTTGAAATGTGCTCAGTTTGGACAACATTGGCAACATTTAGCTGGTTGCTTTGAAAAAACTTATCCTGAATATGAATTAACTGGGATTTGTTATATGCTTACACCTTGGCTGAAATTGGGTCCATTTTCATAGGGAGAGAAAAAGGCATAATCCTGATGTAAGGTAAATCTCTTGCAGTATTTTAAATCCCTTCTTCAAATCAAGGTGGCACTACAGCTTCTCTTTGCCCACATTAAAATACTTCCAGCAGCTTCCAAGCAAGGGAGTTTTCTCTAACCCTGTTCTCTGAAATCACAGAACCATTTATAAATGAAACTTTCCAGAATGTTCAGCCTAAGCAGACATCTGGCCTGGAAATGTCAGGTCCACCAGGCAAAACTATAAACAACTTTAAACAGGGTCTTACAGTGTCAAAAATTAAGCAAACTTTACTAATTAAGCTACCTGTAAAGTTAGCCTAGGTATAGTTAGCAATATCTAGACTACAGAGTTTTATCGGAAAAAGGATCACAAATTCAGAAGAGGCTTTTCTGAAATTTGGCCTGTCTATCCTGGGCCAAATTTCGGAAAAACCTCCTCTTTCGGAAGAGCCCTTATTCCTCATGAAACGAGGAATACAGGGGTTTCCAAAAGAGCACATCTGCTCTTCTGCAAAAAGTCGGTATCCCAGAAAAACTCCATAGTCTAAACGTAGGCCTAATTAGGGATTCAAATCCTAACAAAAGCTATTCAGCCTTTCATTCTTCCTCAGTGGATAGACTGAATTATATGCAAATTAGCACACACACATCTTTTGCAAGCTTGAAAGCATTTTATTGAAATACCTTTTTAATAAAAAACAAATAAATCATTGACTCTAGCCCCCTCTCTTCCCCACACACCAGACACTAGGATTTATGATAATATATTGTGTTCAAGAGATTTTCCTCTGTATAACACAAAGGAGCAAAGTTATTGTCTATTCAACATCAAACGTAACCATCCTGCTATTTGCAAGTTACTTGTAAATCCTTAAAAATAATTACTTATCTAAGTAAGATGCATAGATTTTAAGTCCAGAAGGATCCACTGTGATCATTTAGTTTGACCTCTTGCATAACACAAGTCATAGAACTTCCCTTAAATAATTTCTATTTCAATTCAAACGTATCTTTTAGAAATAAAGCCAATCATGATTTAAAAATGGTCAGTGACAAAAAATATCCATCACAGTTCTTGGAATGCTGTTCCAATGGTGAACTACCCTCACTGTTAAATATACATCATATTTCCATTTATCTACCTTTAACTTTGAGACATTTTAAGCTGTTATACCTTTGTCGTTGGAGGGATTTTAGGTGTATTGTCCATATATTTACTTCACTTAACATGCATATAAACCCATGTGTTCTTGATCAAACTTTTTGTGTAAGTAGTGTCTGCTCAATCCAAGCATGTGCACTGTATACTCTTATGCCCCATTCCAAAGGTATAATGGATGAAGTAGGAATAAATGCCACTCCAATTTCTTCTCTAAAGCAGAGCTCTAGCAAGACACCAAAACAGAATGGGAGAAGGCAGAGTCATAGAATACACTGTCATGATTGTGTTCACTGGAGGCCACCCTATTAGTTAAGGGTTTGCCACAATTCTAATCTTTTCCCCAGGCCACCAGCAGGCCCCGTAGTCATCTGTCTTTTGGGAGGGGTCTTTTGGTTTCTGTAAAGGGAAATCAAGCCTTACTAATCTGCTAGAGTTCTTTGAGGGTGTCAACAAACATGTGGACAAGGGAGATCCAGTGGATACAGTATATTTAGATTTCCAGAAGCCTTTGACGAAGTCCCTCGCCAAGTAAAGTTGTCATGGGATAAGAGGGAAGGTCCTTTCGTGGATTGATAACTGGTTAAAAAACAGGAAACAAAGGGTAGGAATAAATGGTAAGTTTTCTGAGTGGAGAGAGGTAACTAGTGATGTGCCCCAAGGGTCTGTCCTGGGACCCATCCTATTCAACTTATTCATAAATGATCTGGAGAAAGGGGCAAACAGTGAGGTGGCAAAATTTGCAGATGATACCAAACTGCTCAAGATAGTTAAGACCAAAGCAGATTGTGAAGAGCTTCAAAAAGATCTCACCAAACTAAGTGATTGGGCAACAAGATGGCAAATGAAGTTTAATGTTGATAAATGTAAAGTAATGCACATTGGAAAAAATAACCCCAACTATACATATGATGGGGACTAACTTGGCTATAACTACTTAAGAGAAAGATCTTGGAGTCACTGTGGATAGTTCTCTGAAAACATCCACTCAGTGTGCAGCAATAGTCAAAAAAGCAAATAGAATGTTAGGAGTCATTAAAAGGGATAGAGACTAAGACAGACAAATATCTTATTGCCTCTCTATATAACCATGGTACGCCCACATCTTGACTACTGCATACATATGCGGTTGCCTCATCTCAAAAATATATATTGGCATTGGAAAAGGTTCAAAGAAGGGCAACAAAAATGATTGGGGGTTTGGAACAGGTCCCATATGAAGAGAGATTAAAAAGACTTGGTCTTTTTTAGTAAAGAGGAGACTAAGGGGGGATATGATAGAAGTCTATAAAATTATGACTGGTGTGGAAAAAGTGAATAAGGAAAAGTTATTTACTTATTCTCATAATAAAAGAACTAGGGGTCACCAAATGAAATTAATCGGCAGTTTTTCTTCACTCAGCGCACAGTCAACCTGCGGAACTCCTTGCTAGAGGATGCAGGCAGGGCTAGAACTTTAACAGGGTTCAAAAAAGAGCTAAATAGATTCATGAAGGTTAGGTCCATCAATGGCTATTAGCCAGGATGGATAGAAATGGTATCCCTAGCCTCTGTTTCTCTGGGGGTGGGTGACAGGGGAGGGATCACATGAGGATTACCTGTTGTGATCCCTCCCTCTGGGGCATCTGGTATTGGCCACTGTCGGCATACAGGCTACTGAGCTAGATGGACCTTTGGTCTGACCCAATATGGCCATTCTTATGTTCTAGCCATGGGTTGAATTATCTGATTGACAGAATATGGACCAGAATATTGATGGCCACTTTATGACCTGGTTGGCTGGTGTTTAAGTTTGGGGCAGAAAGACACATTTTTTGCTTGATGATAAATGCCAGGCCTTCTTGATGCCAGCAGTCAGTATCACTTGTAGTTTTCCTTGGCCTTGTCTATATCCAGATAGGCCTGGAGTTCTTCTTGGACCTCATGAATTTGCCACACAGTCAGTGGCTGCACAGTTGATGGACTTGACAGGTACAGTCAGAGGGAAATGGGGGGAAGCCACAATTTGCATAAAACTGATTCTGCGTGGTAGAGACATAGCATTATGGTTAGCAAACTTTGCTTGGGAATAGGAGGCTTAACAATTTGTCCTGGTAGAAAAACAGGAAGCAGCATATATGTATTGTTTTAATATTTGATTCACTTATTCAGACTAACCATCAGAAGGTGGGTGAGAAGTATGAATGTGCAAGTGTGGACCCTGAGCAATTATAGAGTATCATGCCAAAACCATGGAAAATTGCAGATGCTGATGAGCTGTGACACATTCTGTGACTTGAGTCTCCAGGAAGCTGAGACATTTCTTTCCAGAGAGCAGGTGCGCAATGACAGCAAATTAACCATTTTTGTCAACTGATCGGCCACAATAAAGACTACAATATGCCAGAAAGACATGGGGAGCTCGACTGTGAAATCAAGGGTTATGGCTGCTTAAGGTCTAGAAAGGATCTTGGAGGGCATCAGATTGGTGAGTGGTTTCAAGTGCAGTTTTGGGGCAGGTGAATGTCTCCCAGAAATCATCATACAAGTGGATTATCACACACATCCAGGGCCATCAGAAGGAGCGGGAGGCCAAATGGAGAGTTTGAGGCACCTCAGATGGCCTGCTAATGCTGCATCATGACAAATGGCACCGGTCAATGGCTGTAGTAAACAAGACATTTCTAAAATTAGAAAGCACACGTCAGCCAAGTTTCAGGCTAAATACATATTTCTACAACTCTATGGATATAACCTTGCCCACGTGCAGTTTGAGAAATTCTTAAGGAAGCGTAAGATTCTCCCCTCACATGAACAGCCCTTCATTCTTCTAATTGTCTCCAGGAAATACATTTTGTAAGTTACAGTTTGTTTTTACGAGTAGAACATTTTATAATTTGCAGATCCTAGAGGACTAGAAACTGTAAAAAATTCCAACAATCTAGGAGACAAAAAATATGCTGGGAGGCTAATTAGTCAGTAGGAGGGGTCACTAGCAGCACATGTTCCTTTAAACCATTTTTGAAAAGTTTACATTTTCCACAAAACCCAGAGGTTCACTTAGGTTGTCTTAAGTTTTTGCACTGTTAAAATCTATTACACAGAATGCATTTTTCAAAAATGTTAAATCAAAATCCTTTTAATGAGAATACAACCAACTTTACAGTGTATATTCTATGACAAGCTTTAATTTTCAAATTCAGACATTTTTGTTTCCATTCTGTTCAGAAAATACAAGTGGAATTTTTTTATATGATAAAGTTACTGCAGTTTTTCTTCAACATTTTGTTCAAAAATGGCTCAAAGGATTCACCCAAACTTTCAAAAAACAAACATCCAACATTTGTGTAAAGATCAAGCACGAAAACATCAGTCCCAAGGGTGAGTATCTCCATAAGTTATGAATATGTAAAAGCAGAATATTATTAATGAAAGTGTCTGTAAACATAATCACACAGTACTATTAATAGAAGTAAAAAACTGAAGACAGAAACAGATACAAAACAAAATTTATGTAAAAAAATAATACACTGCATGCTGCAGGTCACTCAACTTTACAATTTCATTCACTGTCATAGATTTAAATCTGGAAACAGTTTTTAAGGAATATTTTTTTAAATAGTTTTTAAAAATATCTTTCACTTCATTAGAATGCAAACCATGTATATGAACTAGTTTCAATAGTGAAGTGAATTTTCTATGGTGTTTTAGCATGCAAAATACAAGTAAATATGTAAAAAAAATCTGATTTCTACAATATTCTAAAAATAAGAATATATGCTCTAGTGACCATTTGGTGACTTAAAAAGTTTAAGAAACACTGATCTATTGTAAGACTGAGGAACGCCAAACAATACATTTTTTTTTAAATGAGGAACACCAAGGATTTTTTGAGGGGGGAAAAAAAAGGATCAGGGGAAAAGTTATTGAGAGGAAAAAAAAAAAAAAGGTTGCCATTTTGAACTCTGTTGTTCTCTGCGGCACACCTCCAACTGCCACATAGCACACTGGTGTGCCACGGAACACAGTTTAAGAAAAACTGCAATAGATGGTAAAGCAGAATCAACATGATTTGTCTGGCTCACATACTTTTTATTTCATATGCAAAACGGGTATGCATAAAAGATGTTCTGTGTGTGAAGTCAGCAGTTTAGCTTCTGGCATCTAAATATATTTAATATAACTATAATCAAAACCCTTAATTAATAACAGCTCCAGATTTGTCTAATAAGACTATTGGTTGTGCACTGCACATCATGCAAGAGATTTTGGCTTCTAATTCCCATTCAATCTCTTGGTCCCTGGACCAGCAGGGGCTGGGAGTGCTACAGAAGCAGTGCTGTCAATAGAGAGTATGCTTTTGTATTGCTCAGCGACTCCTTCAATCCAGCTGAATCTGAAAGATATGAGAGCCAGTCATCCTTCAACAGAAAGATGGCATTATATGGGGCCTCCTGGAAAGCAAGGAGGACTAGACAGCAAAGAGATCTTTTAGACTCAGATTATAAAGCAATTCCCAGAAAAAGCAACCATATAATTACTTCATTTCAATTAGAACTGTTATCTAAACTCATGTCATGTATTACTTAAAACAGCATTACGCACCATTCACATATAATAGTAATAAAATATTGTAGCAAATGGATTTTTTCTTATTTTGTTTCGTTTTTCAAAAGGAAATAATGTATATCCTGAAAACAATGGAACGTGCTTCCTATAAACAAAAACACACAGGGGCATAATACTTCTGTAAACCAGCATAGCTCCATTGGAGTCAATGGAACCACTTAAATACATACACAAAACTTATAGAAGTGAAGGGGTTTAGCTATTGTGTATAATATTTCCTCATGATTAATAGTTTTCATAGGAAACATGTCCTATATGTATTTTGGTGAACCATTAAGAGCCCCACTCACAGTTCGTTACCAAATCACACAATCGTTCTTAGTAATTAAATATAAGAGGCAACTTTCCATTATATATTTCTGCTTCCAGAAAGCTCAATGAAATTTAAAAAAAAGTCTCATTGCAAGTGATAAAAAGAAAAAAGCTCATATTGAATCTTTGTAATAAATTCAGCTGGAATATTTTGGCAAGATGGCTGGACACAATTTGTTATGAGGTTTGTATCAACGAAATAACAATTATAGACAGGGAAAACAAATTCATCTTACACTAGTTATTAATTACTTTAAAAATCTTGATTATAGTGTGCAGTTTACATCTAAAATCTGAAACGATTGTCAAAACAATATTTTTAACATGTAGGAGATGAACATATATAAAGGCGCACGCACAGATTGTCAATGGTTACATCACATTTCTTTGAAAACAGAATTAACTTCTACCCTTGTAAACAACTTTGTTCTCACACTTTTAAAGTGAGGTTAGTGCTGACTCAATTATTGCTACATTCACAGTTTAGCAGAATCATAGATAATGCATGAGGTACACTCTACCAACAGATCTATCTTCATCTGTGTTTTTCTCATCTCAGTATGACGGAAAACTGAATTATGCAGAATAAAACTGGAATAGCCAGTAGCTCCCATACTTACTTGTACTGGAATGAAATTTACCAGTGATTAAAAAAATCTTAAAAATATCTTTGCAGGAAAATGTTTCTATTCTTCATAATATGAATAGTTTCTTCATTTTATCTACACTGGTAAACATTTACCTGGGCATACTACAAATAAGCTGATGCAAGCAATATTATACTTCTTGCATGAACATCCTTCATACATTTTATATATTCTGTCTTTGTTTGACTTCAATAGTTTTGTGAGTTTGCAGTGTAAATCAACTTCCCTTTGATCTTCTATCATAAATATCTTTTATGCTTTTTGTTAGCTGCTTTATGAACACTTTGTATATTCTTCCACAGTACGTATGCATTGTCTTCTGCAGTTCCAGTTCTAGGGGCTGTAACAGGAAATTAACCAGGTCATCGTCAAAGGAATACTAGAGGGGAAAAAATGAGAAATGACATTAAGGTCATGTGTAAGAACACTATTCCTTTTTCAAAGAAGCACGAGTACTATGAAAATGCCTTCCATCATTACTGTGAAACAAAAATAACTCCATTACTTACTGTGCAAAGGCTAATAAAAACTTTGCTTAGTTTGTTTTGAATACAATATGAAAGAGTCATCTACCTTTGGTCTGACCTAAGGCCCGGGGGCCAGATGTGACCCCTGGCTTGCCTGGATCCAGGCCCTGAGGCTCAGGGCTCCCCCGCCCCAACACTGGAGAGCCCATGCTGGCACTCCAGCCCCTCTGCAGAGCTGGAGCACACAAAATCTACTAACCTGGGCTCCCCAAGGCTCTGGTGTGCAAGGGGAATGTGTCTTTCTCCTTCTCGGTCAGGGGCCATGTTAGTGAGGGATTATTTTTGTTTTTTTAGCTTCTCATTGTGTGTGGTCCCAGACTGATTTTTCTGGGAGTCAGCAGCCCCCAACCCCTGGCTTAGGCAAAATATAAAATCAACATACCAAGACATACAAGCAAATGTATAATAAGCTTTTAAGAACTAACATAATTCGTGGGTTGTTAACACAATATCATGCCTGCTACATCTCAGCTTAGGCTTGAAAAAAATGTACAATTATCCTAGTCTAAATGCACTTTTTTTAAAAAAAATATTAAAATTCTTATTGAGTTACAGTGAATTAACAGTACAACGGGTAATCTATAGTACCAATAAAGATGGAACAATTTCATTAAACTGAATGAATGTCAAGCATATATTGTACTTAACACGAGCATAAAGTACAAATACAATAATTGATTTAGAGTTATAATATTTTTATAAGAGATATGAAAGAAATTATTTGCAAAACCAACATTTCGAGGCAGAATGATTTTGTTAATCTTAAAACCCTCAGATCAGCATTGTTTTGCATACGTTCTGTGGAATATTCATGAACCAAATGGGGTCATAAATAAAAAGGAAAGGTTTTTTGGTTTTTTTTAAGACATTGCTCAAAGGAAACAAAGAATCTTATTTTTATAGGAGCACATTTTCTTTCTGTGCAGTGTATTTTCAGTCCCCCAAAAGTACTTTTCTTCATTTTTATATCCATATGACAACCTGTAATAAAGCACCATTAAAATAAACAACTGTTTTTTGAAGGTCATATACAAAATAGTCCGCTACATTAAAATGTGCATCAACGCTACTTTTTACAGCTCTTCAGTGAATATACTGATATAGTGATAAATATTTATTGGAAGCCTTACTTGCAGAATAAAAAAGAATCCATTGTGCTTAAAAGAAAATCTTGAATGCATTTAAATTGATAAAAAAATGGTTACTAAACTTTCCGTAACTGTTGTACTTCAAGATGTGTGGCTCATGGGTGTTCCAATAAAGGTGTGCACGTGTTGCTTGAAGTCCCCAGAAGACTTGTTCCCTCAGTGCTATCTGTCAGGTCAGTTCTAATGCCCCCAGGAGTGGTGCCTCCATGTACAGGTATCTGCTGGCCCACCCCATCCTCAGTTCCTTCTTGCTGGCAACTCTGACAGAGGGGCAAGGAAGTGGGTGGTGGAATGGACATGAGCAACACATCTTGAACAACAAAAGTTACAGAAAGGTTAGTAACCATTCTTTTCTTCAAGGTATTACTCATGTCTATTCCAATATAGGTGACTCGCCAGGAAACTCAGGTAGTGGGATCAAAATTCCTGTGAGACAGAGACTAGAAGATAGCTGCACAAAGGCTGCATCATTCCTCTCCTGCTGAGTAAGTGTGTAGTGCACTGTAAACATATGAATAGACAACACGGTCTCTGCCTTGCAGATGTCAACAACTGCAACACGAATGCCACTGATGTGGCTAATGGCCACGTGGAGTGCGCCACAGAACGTAGGGGTGGCCCTTTTGCTGGTCACAGCACGTGCTAATGCAGGATTTTATCAAGGAGGAAAGCTCTTAAGCTGACACTAGGCTGCTCTTCATCTTTTCTGCGACAGCCACAAATAACTGGGTGTACTTTCAAAAGGGTTTGGTCCTTTCTACATAAAAAGTCAAAGCTCATCTAATGTCCAAAGAATGCAGCCTCTGTTCATGTTTAGCTGTACAGGGCTTAAAGATATCCTTAGTTTTGTGGAAATGAGAGACCACTTTCAGAATGAACGAGAGGTGCAGCTGCATCTACACTTTGTTCTTGAAGAGGACTGTGTGGGGTGGCTTGAAGGTGAGGCTCAAATTCTCAACATCCTTCTAGCTGAGGCGATAGCCGTCAGAAAGGCTATTTTCCAGGACAAATAAAGGAAGGACAAGTTGTTAGCAGCCCAAACAAGGGCTCTGGCAGTCACTAGAGGGGGCCAAGTTGAGATTTTAAGGGGAACAGAGATGGTTGACCTGTGGATACAGGCATTTTAAGTCCTTTAAGAACCAAGAGCTAACTGGGTTGGAGAAAACTGCACTGTCCACTGAATGGAAGATGAATGTGAATATTGTCATCAAGCAGACTAACAGACAAGACTGCTAGATCTTCCCCTTTCAGATGGATCAGATAGTCCAAAATAAAGGGGAGCGTGGCTTTCAGAGAGGAGATCCCCACCCCTTTTGAAGAGACCACAGTGATGGAAGGAAGGCCATTCTAGCTGATCACTTTCTAGTGCCCATAAGGACTTCTTGGACTGGTGCTGAACAGACCAATTCAATTTTGCTCAGCCACAAAGGTGCCATGCTATCAAATGTAGAGGCTCCATGTTTGGGTGAAGCATGAGTCAGTAGCCCTGTGAGATTAGATCTGTAAAACCCCAGTAAATCAGTTAAATGTTAGGTTGACCTAACATTTAACCGGTTAACCAACTGAAGCATGATCTGGGCTGGGGACCACTCCAGCCTGTCTGGAGCAGCCCCCAGCCCATAGGGGTCCTGCCCCAGCCAGAGCAGCACAAACCAATGTAGATGCAGACACGCTGGCACAATGGGAATGACATGTGCCTTGTCTCTTTTGACACAGAAGAGTACCCTGTGGATAAAGAATGTGGGGGAAAAGCATGCTGGAGTCTGCCTTCCCATGGCAGTTGGAAGGCATCCAAGAGAGACCCTTAACTGTGCCCCAGGTATGAGCATAACTGGGACCATTTCCTGTTGCTCCTGGTCCAAACAGGTCCATCTGAGGAAACCTTCACCTCCAGAAAAAAGTGGGAGAGACCACTTCTGATGGTGGGTGAAGGACCTGGCCAGGTGAGCTGCTATCTTGTTCTAGGAGCCTGGAAGATAAGGGACATTAAGGTAAGTGGAGTGGGCTAAATAGTAGTCTCAGAATGTCAACACTCTGAGGAATAAGGGAAATGATCATGCATCCCCTTGCTTGTTTATATAAAAAATTTCCATGGGGTCATCTGCGAAGACTGACATGGAATTATCCTGGAGCTTGGAGCAGAACACCTGGTAGGGAAGGGAAAACCGCCCTTAACACCTGACGCTGATGTGCAGAGCACCTCCTCTTGTGCTCACAGACCTTGTATCCTACGGGCCCCAGATAGGTTCCCCATCCTGTATGTGAGGCACACATGACCAACCCTACCAATGGTAAAGGGAACTTCAGCACATCTTGATTTAACCATCACTGAAGAGCACTGAGTATCACTTGAGGAAGAATAACCACTCTATCTAAAAGGCAATCATAGGTGCAGCATGCCCTGACTTGAAATGTTTTTCATTATATACAGGATTTACAGTGTGGTTCAATTGTTCAAAGCACCCTCACTATAAAAAAATAAAAGTTCCAGCACCCATCCAGGCAATGCCCTGTATACACCAATGCCAGCCACAGCTGCAAAGGGCAGAGTTTGAGGCATGCATATTGCACTATGTAGGTGTAGGAGGCCATATGTCTGAGGAGTTTTAGGCAGTTTCTTGCCACGGGGGTGGGGCATGCTAGCAGGCCTCAAATGAGCACTGACCTGAGGCTCCCTTCTGGCAGGAAGGCCCTTGCCTGGTTTGGAATGAGGACCGCCCCTATGAATTCTGTAGTCTAGATGAGCATGAGCATAGATTTCTGCTCACTGATCAGGACACCCAGGCTCTTGAAAATGGATCATACAATATTCATATGCTGTTTCACCTACTCCTGCACCTGTACTGACCTCTCACTAACCAATTGTTTAGGTAGGGATAGACCTGCACTCTTCTCCTTCTGAGAAAGACCACCACGCATTTTTTGAAGATTCTGCCAATAAGGCCAAAGGGCAGAACCATGAACTGACTGTAGTTCTGATTTACTACAAACCAAAGGCATCTTCTGTGTCGCTGGAAGATCATTATGGCTACATCTACACTGCACATCAATTTCAAAATATGCTATTCTGGAATAGTTATTCTGGAATAGCTTATTGTGAAATAACACGTGCACACTACAAAGAAGCCTCAAGATTAGTCCAAGGCAGGCTTCCCTAATGTAGACATGCTATCTCAATTTAGAGCCCCAAGAGGCACCGGAGTGGAATAATTTAGAGTGGCCCTTGGTGGGGGAGGGGGCTATGTTGAAATAGCAGTAGTGGAGTGTCTGCATACGCCTTATTTCAAAATAGCTATTTCAGAATAGGCATTATTCTTCGTAGGATGAGGTGTACAGATTTCGGAATCAGCCGCCTGTTATTTCGAAATTATTTCAAAATAACTGAATGGCTGTGTAGACGTTTGTGTAGTTATTTCAGAATAATGGCATTATTCTGAAATAACTTTGCTGTGTAGACATAAAAGATGTGTATTTCCACATAGGGTAAGTCTAGGGTGGTTTACCAGACCTCCTGGATCTAAGGAAGGAATAAGTGAGGCCATAAAGACCATGCAGAACTTTAGCCTCTTCAACCTTGTGGGGGCAGCCAAATGACTGTAGCCAGGAGGAAGTCCTCATTACCATTCCTGTAGCCATTGCTTGGGACATCATGTCCATGGTGTATAGCATCACCTGGAGGGTTGTGTTGGCTATTGCTCTGCCCTTTTCAGTCAAGACCCCAAATTCTGCACTAGAATCAGCTAGCAGGAGCTCTCTGAAATTTTAGATGCTGACCAAGAATTAAAAACATATTGACTAATCAGATATTGGTGGTTAGCAAGTCTAAGGTGAAGACCCCCTGTGGAGTCAAAAACTTTTTTTTGACATTTTGGTCTTGTGTGATGGGTCCCGCTGTCCTTGCCTTTCCTTCTTGTTGGCCATCACAGCAATTAAGGAGCCTGGTGGAGGATGAGAATGCGCACCTTTGATATGGAACGAAATATTTCCTCTATACCTGCATGGCAGTGCGCTGAAGAGATGCCAAGGTCTGCCACAGTGCTTTTATGGTCTGTTGCCTCATTCAGGGGCAAGGCAATTCTTGCTGGCTCTGATGCCATCAGAATGTCCACCAATGCTGGGGCTGACTCTGCAATCTCCTTTATTTGGAGATTAAGGATCTGAGCCATCCAACGTAAGAGCTCTTGGTGGGCTTAGCACTGGGGTTATAGCTATACCCACCACTGCTTCATCTGGATCATCACTGGTGCCTGGACTTCCTCCAGCCCTGGAAGGTCCCCCACTGCTTTGGTGTGACAGCCCCAGACCTCTGCTTCAGAGATTCATCCTCTTTCCAAGGGGACGCCCTTGCCCCCCAGGATGCTGAAAGAAAAGAGAGACCCCGGGGGAACCTTGGACTACCTGTAGCCAAAAGAGCCATAGTGGCTTCTGATGAGGCACCTGTCACTTGCCAGAACCCCACCATCAAGGCACAAGCTCCTGGGTCTCGCCTGTTGGACTTCTATGATCCACTCTGGATCTAGTTCCTTGTGAGACATATGACTCTGCCTGTAATTCCGAGCCAGAGGACGCACTTCTAGGCAATGAGCAGAGTGCTGTGCCCTATGGTGCCAAGCATCCTTGCATTGATGAGCAATGGTGCCACAACAAATACCAGAGCTCCCATGGGGAGGATTGCCATAAAGTATAGCGTAGCACCTCAGTGATGAGCAGTGCCAAGATTGGGAATGGTGCCAATGCAGGGTTCAGCATGGAATCTATTATCAAAGCCTGAAGTGTGACTGGCATTGAGAACAAGACCGACATCTAGGCAGAGTGCTGTGTTGCTGTGGTGAGTACACCATGAGTGCCAAGTCTCCCAAAGATGACCAGGGTGGAGATCGGTGTCTCATCATCATTGCAAGCTTTCTGAGGGGGCTAGTTTTTGTCTTATTGAGGTCAGAACCTGCAGTGCCTGAAAGAGTCAAGAGTTTTTGCACCATCTCAGGCACCTCTGGCATCAATGGTGCTGCCAGGATTGTGTCCTCTTCTTAGCTTACCCCATGAAAGAAGATTCTTGGTGCTTGTGACGGGGCAGGCACAGGGTCCGCGCCGCCCCGCACTGAGAAGGGGAGTCCGGGAACAGGAGTCCCGGCCGAGACGACCGTCGGCCCGCCGCGTTCCCCGGCGCCGGGCGATGACGTCACCGGAGGCGACGGGGAGAGCGCGGGGAGGGGCGGGGCCTGGAGTCATGGGACCATGCCGGCCCCGGCATCCGCAGGGGAGCGGGCCATTCAAAGGGCACCGGACCATGGACCGGGGGAGAGGAGTGCTGGAGGCAGGACGGAGGAACCGGGTCTGTTGGGAGACCCTGGGGAGGAGACACGGTACTCGCGGCGGCTGAAGCCTCACCCGCGACAGGGACTCCGGGTGAGTCTATCCCCTTGCTGGGGGGAACGCGCCGAACAACCGGCCGGGAAGAAGTGACCCAGGGCGGGGCCGTGGTCCCCGCGAGTGGAGGGTTTGGGGGAACGTAACCCCCTCCACTGACTAGGGACTAGCGTCCCCGTCTTAGGGCCCTGGGTCGGGGCTCGGAGTGAGGGAGGGCCCGAGCCCCCTTCCCGGCGTCTGCGAGCCAGTGCGGGCTCCGGCATCCCGCACGGTCGGCCGGGAGCTACGATCGGTCAGAGGGCCAAGAGTCCGATCAGCTAGGAAGGACGAGGGTCACCCGAACTCGGGGTGACCACCAGGGCACAGGGTTACAGTGCTTAACAGTTCCTCTGGCAGGATCAGAGTCAAAAGTGCCAGCTGAGTTGTCTTTGATCAAAAGTGGTCTGCCACAGATTGCATTCTCTCAAAAGTCAGTGCCCCCCCCCCCACAGACTGGCATGTGTTTACCACACACTGTTCGAAACCCTGGGACCATGGCTTGCCCCAGAGTCCTGGTGGGTGTTTGCCAACTTTCATCTACCATCACTGTATGTATGTTAACTATTTAGACTTCTCTACAATCTATTTGCAGGAAGCAGACTACTATAGGAATCACTTGCCAAGCAAGTGCCAGCGACCACCACAGATGGAAAGAAGGAGCTGAGAAGGCAGCAGGCTGACAGGTGCCTATAAATCATCCCATAGAGATGCCATATCAAGAGGCACCAGAACTGACCCAACAGACACCAATAAGGGAAAAAAGTCTTAAGTGATGATGCACATGACATACGTACATATATCGGAACGAACACAAGCAAGTACTCAAAGAAGAACCATATATAAATTAGAGATGTTAGTGACTAGTTGAGTCACTACTCTACTAGTCGCTTCTCCCCTCCTCTTGCTGTTTCTATGAGAGGCAGCAAGTGTGGTGGTGGCAGGAGTCCGTGCTGGGAGAAGTTGGTGTAAAAGCTGGTTCCCTCCAGCACCAGCTCTGCGGTGCCACCTGCCAAACCTTCTCCCCCGCACTGCTAACTCTATCCAAGAGTGCCGGGGAGGGGCGGGAGGGCAAGGCAGGGGAGGCTGCCATGAAGCAGCCTCTGTCCACAGTGGTCCAGGCTCGCCGCAGCCAAAACCTATTCCGCAACAACAGCCCCTGTCTGGAGGGGAGTTCGAGCTCCCTGTGGACAGAGACTGCTCCAGCATCTCCCAGGGCAGCTTCTGTCTGCAGTGAACCTGTATCAGAGGCAGCAGTGCAGAGCACCAGGCGGGAGCCAATTCACGTGGGAAGCCGGTTTTTAAACTGGTTCACCTTGAGGACCAGTTCCCACCTGCCATCCTGTACTGATCTCTGATCCCTCCCCCCAAAAACACAGAATTATGACATTCAGCATTTCATTGAGATTTATGAACTTAAAAAAAAGTGATGGCTACAAAAGTGAACCTGAGGGAAATATTACAGAGGCAACAGTGCGGGATGGAAGGTGGACCCCTGGAAGTGGGGTCAGAATGCACTTGCCACCAGCCCCGCCTCAGGGACTATCGAATAGTCGTGCAACTACTAAAACTTAATGCAGTTACATGACTATTCAATTACACGCTAACATCCCTAGGATACATCTTAAATTCCAACCCGATCATAATTCTTGCATGATCTAAAATGTTAGTTTCGAACTAGAACAAACAATTCTGTTTCTCTTTTGTCATAAACCAAACCTGAAATCCATCTGAATTACAAATTGCTTAAAGGGTGTTACTGTGTTAATTATTTGGAATTGATGAAGGTGAGGATTATAAAAACAAACAAGAAAAAGTGTCACATCCTAATTCTGTAACAAATGATACATTTTATAATTAATTCTACACAAGATATGGATGACTGTAGTATATCCAGTTACTTACTTTTTTTATTGCTTCATATATAGCCCTAAAAGTTGGTTGTTTATCGTCATGGTAAACTCCTCTGTTTCCATGAAGAATAAATATTCCTTCTTCTTCAGCTTCCTTACAATTGCTTCCATAAATGCAGTGGTCAGGTCGGTAATTCCATTGGCAGGGAAACACAAAAAGACTCTCTGTTCAGAAAAATATACAGGACACAGTTCACAGCAAAACTGTTTGGGAGAGAACCAAAATGTATCTATGGTTTTTCTTGGCAACATAACATCTTGCAGAGATTTATTAAAATATTTGTGTACAATTATATTTGCAATAATTAGGTGAAATTAGTACAACAGAAATCTATTTTGGATTAAATGGTCTCTCAAAAGCAACATAAAGAATACTTTTAAAAGCAATAATATTTTGTTTATCTGGAACATATCCACTACAAATTCTGAAAAGAGCAAATTTTCTGGATTTAGAACTGAAATACAAGATTAATATATTACAGTTGTAGTGTGAATGAGAAAAAGACATACCTGGGTTATGAAAAAACATAATATTCAATAGATCTTGATCACCCCATGTTATGTTTAGTTTATATTTTTTAAGTAGTGGCATAAGAATTTCTCCCCACTGCAGCTGAGCAGTTGTCATATCATTCTATTTAAAAGGAATAAACAAAGAAGAAACAGAAATATGTCAAAAGAGAAATCAAAGAATCCCAGTAATCTGCTTTTCAAAGCTGGAATCCCTGAAATTGCATAGGATTTTCTTTTAAACAAGTTTTCATATTTCATGAAAATTAAGTTACATCCAAGTCCAGTAAGTCTTAGATTATGTCTTCTTTTTCAAGAAAAAAGTTATTCTTCTGCAAATTTGTTCATCTCCTCTTCTCAATTACCATATAAAATAATAATTTTTCATTGGCGACCATGAATTATTTCCCCTAGAAAGCACCTCGCACACTAACAATACCAAGAAACAAATGTACTCTTTGCTATGGATTAATGGAATCTAATATGAAATCTATTCTAATAGAAAATGCTGCATAAGGCTTTGCAAGGTATTTTAAATTGAATTTCAGATTTCCCAGTCTCTCCTCAAAACCCATACCTCAAGCAATTTTTCTACATTAATAAGAGAAAGTATTGGACTGGGGCTGAAGACTTGTTAAATATAAATGAAGCAGACATAATTCAGAAACCAGGTGTTGAGCTAGGTGATAAAAAGCTTTTTTACACTGAATTCAAAACAAAAGTTTTGACTAACTTTAAAATGGCTAAATTTCCCACACAAAAACTTCTGTGAAAGATTATTTATAAAACAACTGTACAAATGTATAAAATTAAGGTTTTTCACTGAATCAATCTAATTAAAAATTAACTTATAACTCTTAATTATGGTCCCTTAACTTGATCTACAAAAGTAACCACACAAACGATTCACCTGTAGATTCAAATGTACACTTTTAAGAACTATTCTGACAAAACTGGAGAATGTGAAAAGATCATAAAAACAGGGAGTGCAGAAAAGGTGGTTAGGATTCTATAATTAAAGTGAGCTGAATTTTGATTTTAAAGCAGGAAGGGACTTTGACAACTTGTGATGTATTAAGAACATATATCCCTCCCAAAATTACAGCAACTGATGCCAAATACAGAACAAATGAAGACTGATTATCCCCATGGTTCCTTATTTATGTATATGGTAGTCCCACATGTCAGGTTTTACAGCACTAATATAAGTCCCAACTGTCAGACCTCAAACTGGATCCCAATTTTGGCACCTACAAATGACAAAATATAGACATCTATTTGGTTTTCCAGTGTCACTTGTACATACAAATTGGAAAATTACTTTCCTGTAATTCATTTTCTGTGAAGATGTAATTTGAATTTAAAAAAAAAAAAAAAATCACACTCTTGAACCTCAAATTTTCACTGTAAAACAGGGGAGAATACTCCTAGTTTAGCTGAGTAATGGTGCTCAGACTGAGACTCTAAAGGGGGTAGAGTAGGGGAAAGGCATGGGCTGCCCATTCAATACTTTCCACTGGGAAAAAGTGAATGGAGAGGAGGGAAATGAATCAGGAGGAGAAAAATTCCCAAACAAGGGGGTGGAGGGGTTAGAGCCCCTAAGTTACATGGCTGAGTTGCAATTCTACTGGTACACTGATTTCCAGGTTGAAGTAATCTCTGATTACACACCAAGAACTGAATCTAGATGGAGAGAGAAACAGTTGAATTCCTACCAGTTAAACAAACTTCAGCACAAAAATATGAATACCAAATGTGATACTATGCATATGAATAAATGAAAAAATGATGGGTAGTGTCAAACAGAGTAAGTAATTAGCTATTGCAGTAGTTTCCGAATTTTTTTCTGTTACAGCCACCTACTGGGGATGGATTAGTGAATGAATGTGTTTGCCTTTTGTTCCCCTTACAATATGCCCTCATATTAGTTGCCCGATCATTTACTCTAATTCTTCATTTGTGTGTCTTCATTTTTCCTTGTTTTTCACCCTCCCCACTCCAACCATTGATTCTGGAGTGCTTTCATTTATTTTGCTGATTTTTCCTTCCCCACTCACTCTCAGCAACTTTGTTACTCCAACTTGTAGTTCTACTCATCAGAAGATTATATGACACTGAGGGTAAAGACACTCATTGGTGCCACCTCCCAGAACAGCTGAAGGACATGGGAGCAGAGAAGGTTCAATTATAGGTTGCTTGCCAATTGAGTCTGGAAACCTGTACTTCTAAGATGCTCCCACAGTCCTGAACCAGAGCAAGACTCGATGACCTCTCGAGGTCCCTTCCAGTCCTATGATTCTATGATAAGAACAGATTTAGTGACTTACAAGGAGTAAACTGCATTTTTATGAGCAACACACTCGCAAAGTGTATGAGTCCTATACTCTTCCTCAGGCACACTTCAGCCTAACCTCCAACTTAGGAGATACTGTCTACAGCCTTTTTGCCTACACTACAGTAGTGGATTCTTGTTCTCTAAATACAATATTGAGCATTCCAGTAAAACGTCAAGATCTTGGATCTGTCACCATATTGATAAATAGGGATCCCATTTAGTAAATGAGATTCAGGATCTACATCACTTAAGAACAGCACCTCAAAAGCTACTGAATTCTTAAGTCCAAAAACATAATTGCAGAGAGGGTATCTAAAGGTGAGGGGAAAAGTTTGGGGCATAAGAAAATCCTATGTTTGTGAAGCAAAAAGTTCTTTTCTTAAGTAGCTGCAACCAAAACTGGTGGAACAAGCTACTTCTGAATAGATAGCGGATTGAACTGTGGGAAAATGTGAACTGGTCACAAAAAGACACCCCCCCCCCCCCAAAAAAAATGCACACACAAGAAGTGGTAGGGAAAACATAAATGTTAAGAATGAAGAGAGATTTGTTGAATCAGCAATTCACCTTCCCACCAATGCAAAATTAAAAACTATACAAACACACAACTGAAGACCTCAACTATGCATCAAATAAAAACAGTAAAATTCAACATATATAGTATAATCCTGTTCACCCAAATGGCCTAATATCCAAAACTTCTGGATAATTGGGGATTCAGATAAATGGAAGTGTTATTTTGAGCAGCAGTTTCACTGAGAGAAATATGGGCACCAAATGGAGTAATGTTGATGTTTACTTAATACTGTGTACTTTACTGAATTCATTAAAAACCAACATTGCATTACAATTAAATGAAACAGTTTTTGTGTTTCAATAAACTCAATTTACTCTTTAATAAAGTATAAAAAATTAAGCATTAAAAGCTCACAATTGCTGATTAGCACTAACAGGCTAGTTGAGAAGTTATTATCAGATGATTAACATGAAAGCTACATGGGGAAAACACTGTGGATTTTGATAAAAGACAGTTACCTGTTTAGTAACTGGTATTCTTTGAGATGTGTTGCTCATGCCTAATCCACAAGTGCATGTGTGCCATGTACACAGGTGCCAGAAGTACCCTCAGCAGTACCTGTAGGGGAGTGCCTCTAGCAACCCCTGCAGTGGCGCCTCCATGGCACAGTACAAGGGGCCTCTGTGTGCTCCCCTCACCCTCGGTCCCTTCTTGCTGGAAACTCAGACAGTGGGGAAGAAGGACGGCATGTGGAATGGGCATGAGTACCACATCTGAAAGAACACCAGTATGGAACAGAGCTTGCTCATGTTCAATTTCAAGTGCTTGCTCATGTCCAATCCGCAATAGGTGACTCCCAGCAGTATCCATTCAGAGGTAAGCCAGGGTTCAGGAACGAACTATAGCACAGCCCTGTCAAACCCTGCGTCCTCTCTGGCCTGGGAGATAAGGCATAGTGCATGGTAAAAAAGTGTGCTCCTTTTTGGTTCTTGGCTGAAAGGATTAGGAAATCTTGCACTTGTCGCTGATGTGTGCTACACCCAAGCAGCATAAGTGACCCCTATGTGGGTCACTGACTGGCATGGGCTGTTTGCAAACATTACAAGAATTGAAGCACAAAGTTTGGGGCATCCCCTGATCCAAGCAGAAATTTCAAAGGGGACCAGATAGTTAAAGTTAACTTCAAAGGAAAACAACAAAAGGGGAGAAGACAACAGCAGATAACCGCAGCAAGGCTGTTCTAATGCACCACTACTGGTGGGCCTCAACTTGGAAGGACTGAAGCTGTGGAAGGAGGGCTGAATAGTAACCAGGTCAAGCTATAAAAAGGTGACAGGAAGAGGCTCTCTACCTTTCCAGCCAGTAGAATCTGGAAAAGCATCCTATTAGTACTTTGAGTTTATTTGACCTTGGTTTGAATTTTCTGTTATATAAATAAAGCAAACTCTATAGAATGGTTCTTAGACCACACGGTTGGTTGTTGGAACCTTTATTTTACCTTCTCAGCTACTAAGTTGCTGCAGTGGCTTACATGCCACTTCATAATATACAATATTCAATACACAAATTATCGTGTAAGCCTTGGCCTGAATTGTAAGCTTCAAGTGCACAGCACACTCTGAAACATACGGAAGGTGGGCTCTTATTCCTTCTCCTCCTGTACCCATAGGTGCACTGAGTATGCACCAATTTCCACTATTTACATCAGTCTTGTGCTGGCTTGTTCTGAGTTTCAAGCTGATGGATCTGGCTTCTCTCTCTACTGTTCAGCATAATGTCTTCTAGGTCACCCTCTCTTTCTTTGAAATCCACAATGTTCAGCTGCAAAGATCACCTTCCTTTACACTATGCTGAACAAGCCAGGAATAAAAGCAGAGAAAGCTGAGAGAATTGCTCATAGTAGATGAGCAATTCACGGATGATAAATGGTCATTACCCTGCCTTTCAAGGTGGACAAGGAAGCCAGAATTTGCATTGCTGCTGAATAAGCCATATAAAGCCACATCTTTTGATAAAATAAGATGACATACTTGCAATTTGTAAGAATTATTTATGAACAGAGCTCTGGTACTTCAACAAGAATTGGCAGAAACTTGAAATTCATCTAGAAAATACTTCCTAGGCAAACACCTAGATTAAAACGTCCAAAGATTCCTAAAATGCCTAACATCCATTTCAAAACTGACTTAAGTGCCCAGTAATTTTAATTCTTCTGAAAATGTTAACACTAACTTCTAAGGAATAGCTGTATCTTTTAGAGTTTGGTGAAAGA